TTTTTTGGTTTGTTTGGCAAGTCAKTAGCAAAAGTCAAACGAGTCCAAACTTAAAGCTTAGGAATCTACGAAATTTTTATTTGAAATTATATAACGTTTTCCTATTTCATAGTGTTAAATATGTTCTTTACCTGAAATGCCAGAAAATCATGTTTTTCAATGGAAAAAGGGCTTGTAATCCCGAGGAATGAGATGCGATCTTGAAGTGTATTTCCATGAACATGRACGTGTCCATTGAAAAATTTGAACGCACGCGCGCGATCCTTACTTGTCACATGACTAAATGGAACATGCTGATTGGTGAGCAAAAGAAAAAGGCGGGAAAAGAATGCAAGAATGAGTAAATGTAAAGTGGATATTAGAAGTAATTCTAGATTTTCAGAAGATACACTCTTGGCGTCATAAAATGTTCAAAACTCAAGTGAACCCAAGAGTCCAGCTCTTGTAAGGGTATACTAATTACTCAATATCAAAACAAGTGTGTATCGTTTGCCCTTTGTTATTATTGGTCGGGTAATCCTGAAGTGGAAAGTTCATGCAAATTTCTTAACAAATAAATAGGCAGTGAAAAATAGTCCTTTTCGAGATTAAAAGCGGGCAACATGCTGCAGCCCTCAAATGAACAAGAGGTCCAAGTAATATCAAAATTACGACTTTCACCATCTAAATTTATTTTTCTTTTACAATGCAAAAGGATAAACAAGCTCAAAAATGACAACTTTTTGGGTTGTTGCCCGATTTTGCCTCGCTTTGGTGCAAGACCACAGGCCCCTCGCGCAAATTGTTTCCTAACCTCGAAAAGGGTTGTTTCTTTCTACTGTTACTAATCGACCATATAAAAGACTTTTTATAAATATGTCTATTGACCATATTGCACCTTTCAGCTGCTGTTTCACTTGCAAATTACAACATGAACCATCATAAGTTTAACATGGGAACAGAGGCAAGAATTTACTGCAGCTTTAAAGGTGCTGGACCAATTGCTGTCAAGTGGCGAAAAAAAGGGAAGACGTCSTTGGGGAAGAATGTGATTGCTAAAGGGGAGAAGCTGACCATTAAGAACATTGGTATGGACGACGGGGGAATATACGTGTGCACCGGTTCAAACTCTTTCAGTAACGACAGTGCTGGTGTCAATATATCCGTATACAGTAAGTGAGGAGTTTGTACTTTAAATGCCCGTGCGTCAAAAAAAAAATACTAAGTTACCGATGTTTATTCTGTCAGTTTACCCAAAGTTTGTTGTGAAACCAAACAATGTCACCGCTGAGGAGTTTGGATCCTTCTGGGTTCATTGTAATGCCACAGGGTACCCAAAACCGAAGATCACGTTCTCAAAAGAGGCCCTTGGTGGAGACAATCTACCCTCAAGATTCCGCCAGTTCGAAAATGGCTCAATGTACATCGAAAAGATCCTTCCAGAAGACAGAGGMAACTACTATTGTATTGCAGCCAATACTGCCAATTTGAACCAGGTCACTTTCTCACTAAGGGTGATTGTACCACCTGCAACAAATGCAGGCTCCAAGGAATCTACAATGGGTCGCACTATCGCAATCGCCGTTGGTTGTGCTGCTGCTTACATAGTCCTTGTGGTTGGACTGATGATTTATTGTAAAAGAAGAAGAGCAAAGCAGCAAAAGAAAGAGCAAGGTGCGTTTCCATTTTTATTTTTTAGTCTTACGAGAGAAGATTGTAAGTTACCAAACGGTACATGCTATTTCCATTTTTGGAGTTTTCTTTAATTGCAACTGAGCGCAAGACCTCGGCACAAGTTGCCTGCTTCACTAACTAAAATGTTTCTTTAGTACTTATTCTCGATTGTTTTTAGTGCACTTGGACGGTGACGCTGACCACTGCGAAGCGGATCCTGAAATGCCACTTCAACCAATCAACGGAAAGCCGRCCAACTACAACAAGATGGAATTCCCGCGTCACGACCTTGAGGCGCTACGTACATTGGGAAATGGCTCATACGGGCGTGCATTCCTGTCTCGGGCGAGCGGGATAAAAGAYGGTGAACGCGAAACCATGGTCGTGGTGAAATCGTTGATGTCCACAGATGAGATCCAAAAAGAAGACTTCTGGAGGGAGCTGAATGCATTGGTTAAGATGGACAGCCCTTATGTCATGGCGCTTTTGGGTGTCTGTAGAGATATCGCTCCACAATACATGATCTTTGAATATCTTGAGAAGGTGAACAACTGCTAAAGTACAAGCACTAAAAATGTGCAAAATAGGCGTTTACATAGGCATGTGCCCGGATGTTTTTAAACCGCATATTCTTATGATAAACGTTCTATTTTAAGAAAAATTTCCGGATACAATTGTCGTTTTCAGTGGTTCAGTAAAATGATAGAACTARACCCTGACGCATTTCCTAAAATATCCTTATACATGTAACGCAGCCACGTAGAAAATTGTGCTGTATTATGTTAATCMYTTTGTTGTTGTTTTTTGTCTTCTTAATACCATGYACTAATGATTAAGTAGTCATGATTTATATCGCGGTTTAAGTGCGTTTCCTCTAATGATATCAAAAACAATTTCGATCTAGTAAAAAAAAATCCTAATTAGCATATCATGGTATAGTACKCTTTGACGCGTTACTAGGTTTCAATTCTGAATAGCTAAATGGTGTAGAATGCTGAAAATGCATTATTTAATTTCCAGGGTGATTTGAAGCAGTACCTTCTCTCCTGCTATGACAATGGACGAAGCACTCTTACATCGAGCCAAAAACTCTCCTTGTGTTCCAATGTCGTCTCCGGTATGGCGTACTTGTCGTGCAACAACTTCGTCCACAAAGACGTGGCAGCAAGGAATTGTATGGTCACTAAGGACTTACAAGTTAAAATCGGCTTCTTGAGTTTAAGCTACGACTTGTACAGCAGTGAATATTTCCGYTTTAATAACATGCTAATCCCACTGAGATGGATGGCTCCAGAGGCCATATTCAACGATGAATTTTCCGAAAAGAGCGATGTATGGTCGTATGGAGTACTGGTCTGGGAGATATACACCCTGGGGCAGAACCCGTTCGATGATCGTCAGGATGAAGAGGTATTAAAGTGTATCAAGGAAGATTTGCGTCTTTCCAAGCCCGATAATTGTCCAGATACTATGGCAAACGTCATGAAAAAGTGCTGGGATGCAAACCCGGAAGACAGGCCATCGTTTGACAAACTTTATGCTGAGATTTCTGAAATAGCTGTAGATACACATCTTTGAGGAAAAACGCTAAAATTCCGGCTGCTTTCGCTTACTCTTTCAAGTCAGAAGTCGAGAAATGTCATCAACGAAGTTAAGTAAGACTTYGTCASTTCCACGAGGGGGACTGGATGTGATGCATGACTGATGACGTTCAGGATAATGTTAACTCTCTTTAAAGAAAGAACAACGTGCATCGGAGAACCTTTGCTTTGCGTTTGTTTTGTTTTACGCAAAGGTAATCACGCAAAGGTTCTGTGATGCACGTAGGCCGTTAAATTTGAAAACGTTTGCCGAAAAACCACATAAAGTATTTTAGAATTTACAAACAGGAATCAAATTAAATTATCTCAGAAATAACCGACAGAGAAGCAAAAAGCAGAAACAAGTTATTTCGAAAGTGCTGTTAACTACCTAAGTGATTTGTGTACAGATAGTTCTTCTCTCGAAATTAATTGCTTGAAATCTACTGTTGAGAATTTTTTAACTTTGGATTTTGTTACCACGCCGTCACGGCCGTTGTTTCTTTGCTTCAGTTTTTGTTAAAATATTTTGGCTCCTTTTGTTTGCAGARTTGTTATTTTTTTGAAACAGATTTTAGCGCAGTCAACTAACTCCAGAAAAATCTATTTTATTTTAAGCATGTTGAAAAACTGAAATTTATATTGTTTTTACCATGAATTGGGATGTCTAGACTTAGTGGGGTAGGGTAGGGAGGCTATAATTGTCTATCATTAGCTTGCTGAGTAAAATGGAACATCTAGTCACTGATACAAAGACATTGCAAAAAATGCTTGGCTTCAATAGATACATACCTACGTGGCGGCCATTTTGAATTGATTTACTACAAGTCATTAGGAAAATTGTAGGAAGATGGAAAAAAATTATCATAAACTTAGTAGCTCAGCTCAATGCAGCTTTATTTATAATTGAAAATGCTGGAATTTCGTATCAGATAAGTGAAATCCACGTAGTTGTGGCATTTGTACGATTTTCCCTTTATAATAAGATAATAAGGCCGCCATTTGGGTACTATATCTTATATGTGCATGTACCTTGTATGACGTCATGAAGTAGATTTCATAGCTACATGAAAACGTATGTCACAAGTGTTTGTATAATTCAGCTTAAACAAATGACCACGTCATATTTTTGGAAAACTTAGAAATCCCATCTTATCGCAAAGATTAGGCTTTGTGATGTTTGAATGTAGATAGATTTTCCGGCTTGTGAATGAAAACCTGTATAAAAGCTGAAAGTTTTATTTCATGATAGGATTTTGGTAGCTAGAATAATAATTCTTAATGTATTTTATCGAAATAACAATTGTAAGAGCGAATACTGGTATGTCTATAAAGTATGGTTGCCTATTCAGGACACTAGTTGTTTATATCTCAGCTACTACCCAGGAATTAATAGTCCGCACTTCGCAAAAATAGTTAACCGAGACTGAAATCATTGAAGAAAAGTTGTTCGTAAAAGTTGTAGTTGTCAAGTAGTTTCAATTTTTGGACAGTAGTGATGGTTTACCAAGAAGAGATTCYAGTGCAATGGTGAAATTACACATTTAATGTTACGCATGCTCGTAAAAGGCTCTTGCGCTTGTCTTCCGCATGATGCACTTTTGGTGGAGTGTTAAGACGAGCAAATGAGCAGTCTTGAACAATTGTGTTGCATGTGCTTGTAAGATATTACCGAAACTTTTTAGACTGGTTATCTGTCTCAGTTCTAGCCTTCACAATTAATCTAAATCTGCCCGCGAAGGGTGGTGAACCAGGCGTATCTAGTTAGTTATTTTATGTATTCTATTAAAGAGTGTACGATAGAAGTAAAGCCACCATGTATAGTTTTATGTATATTGAGACATTCTGTATATTGTGACGTAGTACTCTTGTTATATATACTTAGATAGGAATTCATGAAGTTATCTCAATTGTGAAACTAGCTTGACCATAGTTTCTTGCAACACTTGAGTCATATCGAATCGGGTTTACGGCCGACGAATCCTTTAGAAAATGTAGCCGGACGAGGGATTGAGAGATTCACTAAAAAAGGAATTAATTGCTAAAGGCACGGATTAAGATCTATCGCAAACAACACAGATTTRCTGCATGAATGGCAAATCATGCAGCAAATGAAACCAAATCTTGAAAAATCATAGCTTCATTTTTTTTCTTTCCTGCACGGAGAAGGAGGATTGGGGTAAGGGTTGGGGGACGAGCTTCTCCTCTGCCTGCCTCTCTCCCTACCCCTGTGATTAAACCAATGTTCCGTCCCTCGCTCTATGAAAGTAATTAACTGGYAACGTTCCTCCTCCCTCGACCCCAGTTCTTAAACCAACGTTTTGAAACAGCACGGAAAGAATTGAAAATAAAGTGAGCTGAAGACATCATGGAAGCAGAACTTGTCAGTAGTTTTCGCGAAGAAAAAAAAAAACAGAACGTACTGACATAATTGTTTGGTAACAATTTAATTTTTCTACCTAAGTTGCTATTTTAATATTTGACTAGTTAACGGCTCMGTTAGAAGCGAATGTTCTAAATTTCTCAAGCTGCTGTCATTGTCATTCAGTAATTTATATCCCAAAGTCCTCATTACACTTGCGCAGTGTGTCTCTACCATTGATACAGTGTCTTTATTGATTCCAAGCCGCCATGATATTTGCTTATCAATATTTATAAGTTTGTGGCTTTGTTCTTTGGCGAAATCGCCAACTGACGGTTCTAGTYTAATCTCTGCRAAYTTAAAMGCTCTTTGCGCAGCACCAAGGACATTTTGAAGAACTTCTTCGTATCTTACCAGTTGATATTGTTTACTGAGTTCTGATGGCAGCGATTCAAAGAAGTCGACTTCCTTCTCMAGCTTTGTACAAAAGTCCTTAATTTTATCCTCAAATGAGATATTATTGTCTGAATCACCCATGATTCCGGTTGATCCTACCTTGACCTGAATCTCCCACATGGAAGCACGCGGATCCTTTACAAGATATAAAACACGTGTCGCCATAGATTCAGATGTCATCAATGGTAACAAACCAACCAATCCACCGCCAGGTGCCCTGGCGCCAAAAATGGAAACCACCACATGCATTTTACTTGCGCAAACTTGAGAAACCCAACGCGGCTGCATCAACGGGCACATTTCCAGAAAATTACTGGTATAAGTGCCTGTTTCTTCCTTGCACAATGGAGGGGATGAAAGCGCCTTGCTGGCAAGGCGATATTGTGGTGATGCAAGTCCAGGATATGACAAAAATGTTAAATAATCTTTGTAACCATGAAAGCGACACTGGAAGAGGTTGTCCAGGAAAGCTCGGACCTGYCCACTGTATTCGCTATCACGAGTGTAGTTCAGTGTCTTGAACATTTCAAATGGATACAATGGCTGCTCCATGTAGAAAACTTGTGGATGTTCATTAAATATTTTCCCTAGAACATTAGAATCATTAATTGATTAGTGCTGTCATTCAATCCCGCATTTKTACAGCGAGTCAAAAACTAGTGACAAGTCTCACCGGAAAGAATTACCATCATTTTATCATTCTGGGTACAAGACCTCCCCCATTTTGTGCTCATACAATCTGAATATCGAGTGGTTATCAAAAATTATTGCATCACGATATATGATCAATAAGTGTCCGTGTTTCTTTATTGGCCTTGAGTGTGAACTTTGTCACTCACTCAGTCACTCACTCTCTCTCCCATGAGTTACAGACATTTTTGCCTAACTTATTATACTTGAACAGAACTGCTGCTTAAAGGTTTTCAGCGTAAGCTACACACTTACCTAATATGTTAGATTCAAAGCCTGAGTTRGTTACAATGATCACATTTCTGCGGTCTGCCCTGTCCCATTGGAAGGGTGGCGGGGGAACGTACGCATCCTGCCGACTACCAAAGAACGGCGGATGGCGAAGAATGTGGAGGTAGAAGTACATGCTYACACTTCCTATAAGTGCCACTATCATCATTGCACGAGCAATGAACATTGCTAGTAAAGGCATCTTTACAGTAACTAATTTTGACTTCAAAGTACTGTTTGGTTGATCTGTCAAGAAAAATAGGAAATGGTTAATGGGCCCATTTTTCCGTTCATCTATCCATCCATTCATTCATATTTCATTTTATGAAGCGARATAGCAAACTTCGTATGTTTTTCTTTTACTGATTATGTAAATCGATTTTTAATCGTTTGATATTCCTTTATAATCAAGGTTCGCATATCATAACCAGAGATTAAAGCTTTCAATGTGAACGCTAGTGGCTAAGTCCAAGAACGTCCTAAAGTTACATGTCCGCGTTTTTAAATAACTGTTCCATCCATAAAAATTAACTTTTTATTGCTTGTTTAAGGTTTCTAGATACGGTTATTTTTTCAAACGATTTGAAAACATTGATTTGCTCAAGGATGAGCCGCCCACATCCAACAATGTCTGGTTTMAATGGAATTTAAAGATGGCGGACACATTAAAAACTATTAAAAAAGCATTGACATGAAGCAAAAAGAAATTGAAATCTTCTTCTAGTACTGATCCTGGGCGCCCTCTGGAGGCGGTACGGAAAAGGTTCAGTGGCGAGGTTGGCTACTGATAATTTTCATTTCTTAAATGACAGTAAGACATTTCCCAAACCTTCAGGTCTAGAAAAATCTCTGTTCACTGATCAAACGATTCGAAATATTCGACTAAACTATAGACGAATTTGTCAAATGAGTGAAGCGAATAATTTGTGTTCATGGCCTCGCGTTCTCCCGCCCCTTAGCGATCCTCGTCTAACACCAATGGGCGGCTGTCAAGCGGTAACCAATTAGATTRTTTTATACGACAAAAACTAACGAAAAATCACTGATGAATTTAAATTAAGATTTACAAAATAGAATGAAATAAACATTATATTTAACTGTTTAAACGAGGAAGATGTTTTGTTTTTATCCGACAGGCAGACATGATTGAATATCAACCAGTTTTTGATCCGATTCATATTTTATGGTGTCAAAGAAAAATATATCCGCCGACTTACCAGAAAATTGTCATATTTCTTGGCAAATATGTTACTTCTTCTTTTGAAGAAAAGTCGTGTTTTTCTATTTCATTTTTCGTGCAATTTTAGACGGCGTTCACTGATCATATAGTAAAATCACTAGAGCGACTTCAGAATCAGGAAAACCTTTAGTAACTGAAGTGCAATTGAAGTAACTATCTTCTGCGGGTACCGGTGACGGATTCACTGAATTGCGTCACGACCGAGCAGACACCAATCTGACCARTAACTGGTGGTACCGAGATAGTTGTTTGTGAAGAACAGGGGAACCTCCTCTCCCTAAACCGACCACTTTTCGATCAATGATGAACAACGGATTCAATGAACCGTACTGTTACTGCCGGATCGAGGAGGAATTTTTATGAATATAATATAATCTGTCTATCGACTGACCGTGCACAATACTATTAGAAGCGCGAGAATACTAATAAAAGAGCGATCTGGTAATCCTGTCGTCCAGTGCAGTCCACTCATCTTAGTGCCYAGTCCGTTTCCTCCTTTTGTCAAGGCCAGGTGTTGTGGATTCAAGATGGCGGCCCGCGGAGTAACTGTCAGAGAGTCGAAACAACCAAAGTAAGAGCAATTTTAAATGTTTTCCTTCATTACAGATCGAGCTTCTTTCAATAATCTAAAAGATTGGTAGACTGACTTTTTRTTTCTTGTCGTTTTAGRGAAATCTACCAAGATGCTTTAGATAACGTATCGGCTTTCAATGCCCGCCTTTGTTTTGAACGAAAGATGAGAGCCCCATTTCTAGATGCTCAGACAGGCATAGCGATGAACAACTGCCACTTGTGGCTTAGTAGATTYATGAGAAGAGAGCCCAAAACGCCACAGTATGTGTATACGTATCCTCCAAGAAGATGGCGGAAGAGGAAGAGAATACCTCGTGTTGAGCCYGAGGAGGAAGACACAACACATGTTGGCGATGAAGGTTGAAAGCTTGAAGTTGATCTTTATTCATTTAAATCATTAGAAAAGAAAAGTATAGCAATAGTTTGATTTAAGTGACTACGTTAAGGGTCATCATAATCCGATTTACACAATGYGATTTTCGAATTTGTGCACCTTGAATACAGAATTGTACTGTCTGTAATGGCTCTACGACTACACACCTGCGATCTCAAAATCATGCGGCAAGTTGTAGGAAAAAATAAGTGTACTATAATTCSGCACCACAAGTCACATCGTGTAAACCGTCATTTCAATGTGATAATARTTTGGTATGAGACTTCTTTGCAGTTTCCACAGCTGTTGTAAGTTCTAGGCTGGTCTAAGAACGGCTGCGAGGAGACTAGGTTTCAGCCAAATTGGAGTTTCTGAGCCATTGGCATCATTGAGCATGCAATAAGAGAATTTCTCAGGTCTATGGACTAATTTTTCATATGTCTATCTGCAAGTATGTTTACAAGCTCACCTGTCTTCCATTGATGAAAAGGCATGTTTATATATTTCCAGATGGHACAGAGACTTCTTTGATGACCCCAAACTGTCACAGGCYACATTGCATTGTAATAAAACTGTTAGTTTCTTATCATTTGTAGAAAGTACCTAATATTATGTAATSTTGYAGTYGAAGCAAGCCCCTGTCAAGCTGAAGGTGAGAATGAGCAAACAAGTGACCAARTAGATACCATGGCATCAGAACCTACTAGGGAAGAATCTAAAGAGGAAGAATCATTCATGTTGGAGACAAGYGACTTGGAAGATGAAGCAGAAGAGCCAACTCTTGTTTCTGATGAAGAAGAATTTGAGTACAAGAGGAAAAGAGGAAGACCTGGCAGGAAGAAAGGCTCCACTGTTTCCTCAAACACTGTGAAAAGCTTCCCTGTGAGTGTGAGTTGCCTCTTAGTGAGACTAGATTTTATTAGTTTACATATTTTCAGGATACCTCAAATCTTCAGACTGGGGTTGATGCCAGATTACATCATTTATTGCTGCCCAAGGGTCCCAGGAGTTGGCCACATAGAGTGAGACTCCAATTAAAAGCTCCCCTAAGTAAGGAATGTTAAGCATGTAGTTGAGGACTATCACTGGCAGGGTTTGTTATATCCCAAGGTTTCATGTACTCATTCTTTTTGTTCTCAATGAATAAAGCGCCATCCATTTAACCCAACTGGAGGACTGACTGTAAGGAACATTACCAAAGAAGAACTGGCCAGGATGAATCCTGATGATCGCAAAAAGCCTTATGTCTGTGAAAGTATGCCATTTTGCACTGTTTTGCATTTTACTGTAATGATGTATTTTTCGTGCAAAAAACAAAACAAAAAAAACGAAAAAAAAAAAACGTTTGTGAGAAATATTTCCATTTCAGTCCACTTGGGCCTGTATTGCATTCTAAAGCAAGCACATTCACCAACTATGTGACTTTGACAATTTATCTCAAGTTCATGATGTTATAATAGAGAGGTTTAGCATGACGTGCACGGCAAACGCCGAACGGCAGAAAAGATCACGTGACCTGCTTTTTTCGAGAGTAACACTGCAGTTTCAACGCGAGAGCGGGTTAGTTTGAGGTTGCCATAATCGTGAAAAGCCGCTCTTTCAAATGACTACCAAAAGCACAAGGTCAGGCACGGAATTCTTAGGTCATTGGTTCAGCTCTGCTGTTAGCCATTTCCCGTCAACGTGATGCTAAAACTCTCTAATATTTAAAGTCACTTCACTACAATCATCTATTCTATGACAGAAATGCTCTTCCAAAGCTTCTCATACATACATGCAATATTTAGTTAGGATGATGAGATATTGTGATTATGCCACTTGGTTTATGATTAAAATGATGTGTGTGATAATAAAAATTGTGTTTATTTTTTAATTTTCATATCTTAGTTTGTGGTAGACGTTACAAGAATGGGCCCGGTCTTAAATACCATTACACTCACTACAACCATGACCTTGACAACCAAGAGGACTCCCAGTCATCAGCTCCATCAACAATTGTTGATTCTCCAAAGCCTGCCTCTCCAGGCCTTAAGATTGTACCACAGCCACGTAGATTGGATGGAACCGCYGCAACAACAGCTACTCCTAACAGTTACTGTGATTTCTGTCTGGGTGATAAATATGAAAACAAGAAGACTGGAAGATCAGAGGAGCTTCTTTCATGTGCAGATTGTGGAAGATCAGGTAAAGAAGAGCARGAGAAACAATAAAAAGCATTGAAAAAAAGACACTTTTCTTTAGATTCTTCATAAAATCTGGATCATATTGTTTCATAATACATCACTGTGAACAATTCTTCCCTTTGATTATTATACAGGCCATCCATCATGTTTGCAATTTACTCCAAGGCTGACCGACAATGTAAAAAAGTATCGCTGGCAGTGTATTGAATGCAAGTCTTGTAGTCTTTGTGGTACTTCTGATAATGATGTAAGTAAAAATTAATAGAAGTTTTTGTAGATCAGTTCTTGTATAATCAAATCACAATCTAATTGTACCCCTGCAGATTAGACTGATTCCATAAGTCGTAGTATTCGCTCCTCAATTTTTTGGTTTGTCGCTCAAACTACCTGTGATCGAAAAAGAATCGACAGAGAGGRAAYTGTTACCGAATTATGGAATCAGTCTACCCTGCAGATAAGGTTATATTCAACTTATTTTGTACATCTTGCTGTAAAAAGTAGACATTTATATTGCTTTTTTCAGGATCAACTCTTATTTTGTGATGATTGYGACAGAGGGTACCATATGTATTGCTTAAAACCACCAATGGATGCACCCCCTGAAGGTATTATTTGTTCAACTTGTATATGATTGTACATGTTTTTGGGGAWATCAATAGAGAAACAGGACAAGGAAAGCTCCACTTCTTACACAAAGTAATTTCCTCCTCTATGTCCTATTCTTGAAAGCATGTCCCTCCTGAAGTTTGCTTCAAATTCAATGGCACTAAATAAAAATATCATCTTTTCTAAATCAAAAAAAACCTGGTGCATGGACAAAACTCCTGGAGAGTACATCTAACTTTACTTTATGTATTGTTAATCCAACCATCCATCCATTTGCTGCATCAGTTCTGAATAATTTATGTTCTCTCTTCTCAACAGTGAAAAGCTTTTTACAATTTTACTATGTACATTTATTATCCTTTCAGGGCACTGGATGTGCAATTTATGCAGAGCTTCATTGGTTATCCAGCCAATTGCTACTGGAATAACTCAGGCTTAGAATATATTATTGTATTATATAGTAAAATAGAAA